GGGTGTGTATCCGGGTTACGCAGGGGGCGGGGCGAGAGGGGCTCCGCCCTTGGGGCGGGGCGATCCTGGGGGCGGGGCGGCCGGCTACGTGCTCCGAGAGGTACTGCCTGCGCTACCTCCTTTGGTTAAGGTCCAGACGTATTTAGGTTTTCAGATCACTCCTGGATGTAGCGAAGCTACTTTCCATGCAGGGAAGGATACTGAGTGCCTCGTGAAAATTTAATCTTCTTTTGAATGCCAGCGTATGGCTGAAATAAAGCCAAAGTGACAGTTCTGACTTCCCATCACTCTCAGATAATCGAGGAATGGAGGAAAATACAAGTCGTTTTAAGAGAGAGCTCTATGCCCTTTTGGTTGGCGACTGTGCAGACAGAGCCTGTAGCTTTAAATCGCCTCTCTCGGCTCTTTCAGGCAGAGCTGGAGGTGAGCGGTGATGGGAGAAATTTTACTTGGCTCTTTATTCTGCTGGAATCTCTTGTGATCTGAGTGCGCATGCATTTATATCTGTATATATATATGAAGACAGTTCCCGCTACCTCCACCTGACAGTATGAACCATCTTCTACGCAGCTGAAAAACGTGCCTAGATCCTAAAAAACACTCCGGGCTTCTCTCACTTCCAAAGATATTTTACCTATACCTTCCTCTCAGAAGTTGAGGGGAGATAGGAAATGCCTGAGAAAGTCCACTTGATAGAAACGTCGTCCCAGGATGGTCAGTCAATCTAAAATATGTAAACTTTGGGTCAATATAGGCCCTCCAAATGGACTTACAGAGTATTTAAGAGAAATAATTCTTCTACTACACTACTGATCTTAGCAAGAATAGTGAATACGTAACTAAATTTTAATTAGTATTATAAGTATTAACGTTTATCTTACATCTTAAAAGTGAATATTAACATTCTTTAATGTTAGAATATTTCTATAAAATCAGTTTAAAATGCAGCCTATTTTACTGTTTGTAGCCAGAAGTCATTCGTTTTAAGTGGGTTTTAATATTAATGACCTTAAAAACTGCAGGTATACAGAATAGATTCTGAAAAGCCACTCCTAAGCAAGTCATTAGAGACAGCCTGGCCTTTACCACTTCCTTAGAGTTCAGAGCATCTGTATAATTTGCATACGGTTGTGCACATACAATAAACAAAGACTATTGATTGCTTGGTGTCCTTTCCAGCAATCTGTAACTGACTTAAAAATAACCACAGCACTAAATCAAGTACAAATATAAATCACTGAAAGAACAGTTCCTGGAGTGTTGACAGCACCAAATCTTAAGGAACTGGCACTGTCCCTGACAGCTTTGGGGAGCATCTTCTAAATAAAACAAAACTGCTTTTAAAGGAAATCTGAAAGTGAAGGTTACCAAATCCAGGGATAAATATAAAGACCAGGGCTGAAGTGTAAAGGTGTAAATTAACAGAACCACGTGAAACTGCACTATGAGATTAACGAAATGTATGAGTTGAGGAGTAGTTATGAAAATATTAAAAGCATTATTGGAAAGTCTGGATGAGGTATGTAAAAATAAATTGAATTTTATTTTCCAAAGACATTGAAAAGGAATGTCAGGCTCTGGTCACTGTGATACTATAGAAAGCGTCAGTGAAACAACTAGAAAGATACTAAAATCTCCGGAGCATTTACGATGCAGGAAAGGGATTTAAGAATTAAGGGGGAAAAATGCCAAAGCTTCAGAAAAGAATGAGAGTTTAAAGATCATAGTTCCAAGACGTGCTCTAGTAATCAGGTGACAATTGATAATAGATACTGATAAAAGATAACGTGTAATTATTAAGAGAAGCTTTATGACAAGAAGAAAAAAATTAATTACACGTGTGACAGTGTTGTCTTAAACCTCTAAAGGAGTTTTGAAACTTGCTTTTTCAGTAACAAGTTGTAGCCAGAAGTTGTTAGAATCTTTAAAAATGCATATATACTAATGAAAATTATATGAAAGTAAATATAAAATAATTTGTGAATTTTAAGGGTGAATTTGTGGTTTGTGAATTGAGGCAAGCTGGTTTTTAAAAAACAACCTTTTCTTTAGGTGTTGAGGAACATGCCTAATATTTCTTCCATGTACATACTGACAGCAACAAAACTTGACTTTCAGTAGAAACTTCTTTAACCACCTTCTGCTTGACTGGCTTGCCAGACCCTGCTCTTTACCATCTATCCCTGAGCTGACACCTAGTTAGGTTCAGTGCTCTTGGGGCACCTGCCCCCTTTCAGTCCCACTGGTAAGACTTTATATACTTCTTAAGAGTTCGTTTTATTTATTTAAATCCCATTTTGCTATTGTCGTTATTATAAATAAACATAAATTAAATATTATGTAAAACAAATATGAGTATAAACGTAGAGCTGAAAGCTTTGGATGATTTGATGAAGGTGAGTCACTAAAAACAAAAATTACCATTAAATTACATGGTGGAACAAAACTGCAGCTGATTGTGAAGAAAAAGAATCAAAAGTTCAAATAGATACTGAAATCAGATTGCTTAAAGAACCCAAGTTGTTGGTCATCCTAGATGATGCATTAGTCTTATGATTGAAAAAAATGAATGGATATAAAAGATGTGATTGATACACACACACACACACACATATATATTATATATAATATATATTTATTTATTTCACACATAAGGGAGAATGTAAGGAAAGATAGTATTTGTAGAAAGATAGCAAACCCAGACATTTGTGAGAAGTAAATCATATACACACACTTGCATGCACATACACACACAATGGAATATTATTCAGCAATAAAAAAAGAATGAAATCTTGCTATTTGTTATAACAGGGATGGACCTTGAGGGCATTATGCTAAGTGAAATAAGTCAGACAGAGAAGGACAAATACTGTATGATCTCATGTATATGTAGAAAGTAGAAAAATAAAATAAATTAATAAACAAAACAAAACAGAAACATACCCATAGAGATAGAGAACAAGCTGATGGTTGTCAAAGAGGAGGAGGTGGGAGATAGGAATCAAAGATTTTTTTAAAAGATCACATATTGTATAATCCATTTATATGAAACACCCAAAGTAGGTAGATTCACAGAGACAGAAAGTCGACTAGTGGCTGCAAGGGGCTGGTGAGAGGGGAGAATGGGGAGTGACTGCTAATGGGCACAGAGCTGCTTTGTGAGGTGATGAAACTCTGAAACTAGACGGGGTGATGAAAAAAAAGAAGAAAGAAACTGCAACTAGTGAATATACTCAAAGAAAAGTGCCTGCCTTATATTAAAAGGCAGACAAATGATATGTTTAAGATGTCCAGTTTTTTTCTATAATTTCACACTTTAATTGTATTTTCTCAATTAACTGACCCACTTCAGTCCTAATTTCATGCAACAAAGTACTTCTCACAAATGTCTGGGTTTTGCTACCTTTCTATAAATACCATCTTTCCTTACGTTCTCCATTATGTGTGAGATAAATAAAACCCATTTACGAAACGTTATTAACATAGATGATGAGGATATTTTGGTTTGTCAGAATGACCCCTGACCCCAAAATTTACCTTGGAGGAACTGTGTGTGTGTGTTTCGGGCGCGTACGCATGCCTGAAAAAGAAAGAGAGAGAAATTTCTCTGCTAGTTAGTTTCCTTGAATTTTCTTTATTCTTTTAAAAGTGAATTTTAGGGGGACAATATAATTAATTAAAGGTTGGACCCTAGAAAAAGTGCTTTCACCGCCTTTCTGAGAAAGCAAACCAAAACAATGAACTCATGGCATTTCTTCATGTTTAAAATACTAAACTTCCAAGAATAGTAGTATTTGTACGATCTTCCCTTAAATGATTCAATCCTATAAAAATAATAATTCTATTTTTTAGTAGATATAATGATATGGTGTTTGGTTCTGTCATTATAGTTCTATCTTTGGCAGTACATATAATTCTTGGGACAATGGATTTCATATGTTAAGATTATGGATGGTCTATTTCTAATACATGATATATATTCATTCTTAAAATTATTTTTCTTCAAGTTTTAGAAATACTCAACTAATTGGACGATTTTCTCAATTAATATAAAATAATTATGTTAGCATTATAACCTACTGCAGCCCTGATTTTAGCAACAACAATAGGAATACTTATTAAGTAAAGACAATATTATAGATATATACAATAGAAAACTACATATAATTTTTACACTTTAAAATAACAATCATTCTAATCCATATGAACAATATGACATCAGGTAGGTATTTTACATATCTTTATATCTTCTGACCTAATTCAGATCCTTTGCATATATAAACTTAGTAAATATTTATGAAACTGGACTTTTAAAAACCAGTTTTAACAAAATTTTGTCTACTATGCAGAGTTTTAAAAAATACTGAATTTAACCCAACACTTATTTGTCTTTTCAAAACATTTGTTTCACAAGCTTGCAAGTCAGCTGAAATAAATATTTGCTTTGAAACTGTTAATATGTCAAATATTTGTTAATTTTGTGTGTACCCTTTATTAAATTCAATGCTTGGCAAAACATCATTTCAGTTACTAATGTAAAATTTCCCACATTGTATTTTATTCTCT